GATGGATGGATGAATGGATGTATGATGTATGATAAATGGATGATGGATGGATGGATGATGGAAGGATGGATGATGGATAAATGGATGATGGACAGATGGATGATGGATGGATGATGGATGAATGGATGTATGATAGATGGATGGATGATGGATGATGGCTGTATGATAGATGGATGGATGATGGATGGATGAATGGATGTATGATAGATGGATGGATGGATGATGGTGATGGATGGATGGACACATGCTAGTTGCATGTACCTCATCCAAAGAGCCGTTCTCCACCCTGAAGCGTCCCGCTCTGTGAATGGCCCCATCTGCATCGCTGGAAATCAGCTGAGAGGAGACAGACAGATTTAAAATTAGACGTCTGATCAACCGCGGCTCGGGGCAGACAGGAGAAGGAGGTCACAGATATAAAGTTTCACTCTCAACGACGACAAGGAACCACAGCAGACTCATCAACACCATGTGGCAGCAACATGTGCCCTGCTGCGAACACACGAGCATCCTAAGAACAGAGGAGCAACAAACGCCTCAGTAAGAACCAGACAGTCCTCAGTGATTTTGCTGAAACTAGGCTGAAACTGAGTTGTTAAGGTGAACAGAAAATTTGTAGCTAAAAGCTAAAAGTGGCAAAATGCTAGCTTAGAGCTAAGTGTAACAAAGCAGACTAGTTAAACACTACATAGATCAAAAATTTGACTAACAATCAAAAGTAGAAAAGGGCAGCCAAAATATCAAAAAGCTTGTTAAAAGTAACAAAAGGCTAAGTGAAAGCTAAAAGCAGCTAAATTATTGCTGGACGTTAACAGTAGCAAAAAGCTAGTCACAGGTCAGGGCAGTAGATCAAAGATAAAAGCAGCATAAAAAGACAAAAATAGGGCAAACGGTCTGAAGTAGTTTTTAAAAAGATCAATGATTTTGATTAATTTAAAAAGATAACACATTTCTATGGGAGATATTTTAGTAAATAAAGTGATTATGAAAAGTATAAAAGTTACAAAAAACAAAATGCACAGCACCTATCTACTGAATGAGCTGAACATTTTGACATGCAAATGGCTAAAAATGTGCAGCAGTAATTAGTAATTGAATTTCTAAACTGTATGGAAAAAAAACCCAGGAAATCAAGTCTGCTGACTCAGCGTTCAAACAATGCGTCTACAAATGACCCTGACTTTGAAGAAAAACTCAAGTTTTGGTTGGCGTTGAGTGAAACTGTGCAGCTTTTGCTTGTCTGGGGACTGAGGTCCACAGATGAGAACAAAATGTTTGCATGTTCAGTGTTTGAACTTACAGAAGTTTCTATCACATTTCTGCTGAGTGGCTCCGCCCATTTTTACCCTCACTGAGTAAAGAAACCAAAGTTAGGCATTTCAGATTTTATCTGAAGTTTATGTTTATATTAGCAAATAAGACGGTGGAAAATTTTGAAGTGCTGATCCTAGTAATGCCGTCTGTCTTCCTGGAGAGAGAGAGATTCTTCTGTTTTGTTTTTTTTCTCAAATGAAATTACTCTGAATTGATCATTTCCACTGAAAGACTGGAACATGATTTAAATGTGCTGCACTCCAGGCCAAAGCAGAGCTTCAGCTCTTTTGGAAACATTAATTTAAACGCTCATTTTACAGCATTTCGCCTGATAAAGATAAGCATGGGTTCTGATGGCAAATAATAAAATAAAATAAAAATGAATATAAGACTGCAGATTTTTCTTGGCTTTTCTTTGTAAATGTGTATGTGGCCAAGTCATGGCATGCTTCCTGACAGCAGATAGTCCCTGGAATCTCTCTGCTGCCACAACTTGTTGTTTTATGTCTGGGCTCACGCAGCATAAACAAACAAGACACGGCACGCTAATTGGACCGTTGGCAGATTTGTTGCCAGGTACCACTCTTCAAGTTAGGCTAACCGGAGCGTTTTACGACTGCATATTAAACATTTTATAAACCATCACAGAATGGGAAGAGATCACTTCTTCCAACTGTCTTCAAGAAGATACTTATTTCCAAATTTATCAAAAAATATTTAAGAACATTCATGCACCTGACTTACATGAAACAATTTCAAGTTTTATGCGCCTGTAACCTATAAAAGAAACAAAAATTAATTTTAAACATATGTCTGAGTTAGTGTTGCCCTTTTAAAGCCCTGTAAAACTTTAATCTGCTCCTCTTCCTGTCTGCATTTACTTTTAAGCCCCAACATAATTTCACTCATGTTGCTAGGCAACAGACTCTCTCCTCCCTCGATGCCCCTCCTCTTTATGTCTTTCTCTTTGCCCTCAGCTCTTTGACCCTCTTGACTGTCATGCTATATTCTGTCCCTGTCTCTGACAGAGGTCTCTGCCCTGACAGTATAACGAAAAGAAAAAAAAAAAGGCATGGCCTCATCATCCAGATGGCCTGAACTGATCTGGAAAACTTTATCATTAAGAGGATGGATGAATGTGGAGCTATATAATGAGCCAGACATTAAAGAAGGTTTACCTATTAGGACAGGGCAAAAAATTTAACTAAAAAAATCACAATTTTAACTCCCACATACGAGTAATCTGTGGTTCTACAACAATCCCAGATGCTACACCAGTCACATGTATCGACACGCTGTTAATCTAAACCCTGCAGATTCATTGATTAGGATGAATCTGATTATCACTTTGATCTTTACTCTTCTCTTCCCATTTGTCTCCTGTCTGCTGTCGGTTCTGTAACATTTTACCATAACTGGCTGAGAGGCATTCTTTTTAACATCTACTAACAGCTAGACACAGGAACATAATGCAGAAGTTGAAGTCTAAATAGGTGAGCGCCCCCTGCAGGCAGTCTGCAGTACAGGTTTATGTCAATGTATGTGAATTGTACTCAAAAAAATTAAATAGACCTCAGATGATGCAATTTTTTTCCAAGGGATTTATTTATTTATTTAAGAACTCCTTAATTTGCTGCTTATTTTTAAATATTTAATTTTTAAGGCACTTTGCTGTAATTAGCTGTCCATATTATAGTTTGTCCATTTAAAAAAAAAATGTTGACTGGTACTACAGAGAATGAAAACTTCAAGATTATAAATCCTGAGATCTGCTGTCATTCCTAGATATTTTTTTTTTGTTTGAATACTTTTTCCACAGGCAAATAATTGACACTAATTTGCTCTTTTTATTCCCTACAAATCCAAATGCAGCTCTTAGGTTTGTTGTTCAATGATTAAGATCTTTCATCTGTAAAAACACACCCATCTAAACAGACTCTTGAAATATAAATTCCACTTTCCTGTTTTTGTGGCCCAAACACAGAATATCCTTCTGTTTTTATTAGGCCTGTCGCAATAAACAATAAATCAATTAATCGCATGATAAATGGAAATGATCAACCTCATTTTCATTTATCGGCTTTATCGTTTCTTCGTGTCTCTCTCTTTCTGAAGACACTGGATGACAAAAGGTTAACTCAGATGCTCTTCACTGACCCCTCCCTTTCTCTTTTCTCTTTAAAATCTGTTTTAACCATCCAAAATCGCGTTTTTGGATCGATAAAAGCAGCTAAGCTGAGAAGCTAAGCTACAAGCTAAGCTAACAGGCTGACCTCAGGAAAAAAAACCTTTGTCTTGTCGAAGCTCCAAAATTCACGGTTGAAACCCGTGCCTTTGTCTAAAAAGTTGTTTTTCTCTGCAAAAAGAAGCTGAGAACTTGTTTATTGTGTTTTTATTAAAAGCCTTGTGTGATAAATGCTATGCTAAAGAGCTCAAACCACACCGAGCATCCGCCATTTTGAGAACAAGAAAAAAGGAAAAAGAGACAACCCCTGTCACGTCAAGGGGCCTCCCTCCCATTTCTCTTAAAGCGACACGCTGCTCGCTCCCTCACTATTCATCCTTCAGTTCAAACAGTCTTATACTGCCATCCAGTGGTCGAAAAAAGCTACTACACGCAAAACAAATTAACCAACATTTCTTCTTAAATTTGACAATAATTACTAATTATTGTCAAATTTCAAACAATATTATTGTTTATCGCAATAATTTCTGAGACAATTAATCACCCAGCAAAATTTATTATCGTGACAGGCCTAGTTTTTATACATTATAATCTTAAGGAAACACTTTCTGTATAACTTCTTTACTGGGTTTCTGCTTTTGTAGAAATAATGCAGGATCAGTTCGGTATGTCTAACTGCTGTTGATAATAATAATTTTGAGATTGATCCATTGGGATTAGGAATATTATGTAAAAATGAGACAGATGTAAAGCAAAAACATCTGGCCAGAGGTAGGCAGGAAAGAAAATTGTGGATTTGTTTTAACACTTTGCAAGCTCAAAAATCGAAGTATCATTTAGATAATATACAGTGTTAGGAAAACTGTTTTATCAGATGACGGTGCGGTTCAGGAAAATTGGGATTAAATTAAAAAGATGATTTACTGTATTTTTCGGACTATAAGGCACACCGGATTATAAGGCGCATTAAGTGAAACAAAACAGTCAGATAAGTCAAACTTTATTCAACTCATTCACAATAACCACATAAAATCAGTTTGAGGTCAGTAAGCACAACCAGAGTTAATACATAAGGCGCACTGGATTATAAGGCTCACTGGCGATTTTTGCGAAAATTAAAGGATTTTAAGTGCGTCTTATAGTCTGAAAAATATGGTAGTCTTAATAAGCTGCTTTTCTGTGAAATACTCAGTCTTTTTTTTGTTTTCTGACAACAAAAACAGAAAATTATATGAATGAGAGTAGTTTTATTAACAATTCACATTGAAACTGAAGGTTTAGCCATGTTCTTCTTTAGTTGTGTTCTGCTGATGTTGGTCTTCTTTATGCACCGTTATGACTCTTTAGCATATGTCGTCTAAGTGCTCGTTTGATTTCTTTTTTAAGCTTTTCTTTTTAAACCAATTCGAGCTCCACCCCCAAAACCTTTAAAAAGTAAAAAGTTGTGTAAAAATAATTTTAAAAAATGCTAATTACGTTGTTAGAGTTATTTTACTTTATCATGCTGAGACCCCGGTCTTGTCTGCCCAGAGACGGACCAGTTATGGCCAGTTATGGCCTGGTTCTGTACAGATGAGACAGGCACAGATGCTCTGAGTGAGCTTCCCAGGGTCAACACTCGAATATTTTTTAATTTTGCTGGCTTCCACCACATATAGATTTGCACTTTCACTCATTGTTCACCATCAGAAACAGATAAGACCAATGATGTCACACATAGTCACCCCACTGGTACACTCTGATAGGCTGTACTCCCAGATGTGAAGGCGGAGCCAATGGCCAATATAAACTGGGGCGTACTGTGACACGGGGCGCTTCCGCTTCCGGGTTAAGACGA